CCCCCAACCGCCCCGACCTCACAATCTGTCACAAGACTGCGTGCTCACCAGCTGTATCGCCCAACCACCCACCAGGGCTTGGAACCGTCTGGAAATATTGCTGAACACGAAGGGAATGAGCGATGAGTGAATGTGTTGAGCCTGTGAGCTTTGTCCTTCTCTGTCACGCCCCACTGGAGCCAGGACAACAGCGGGGACAGCTGCCCCTCCCCATGGCAGCCGAGTCCATCCAGCCAGAGCCCAGGGACCTGGCAGAGTTAGAAGCAGTGGGGGAACGGCTGTCAGGCGCAGCTCACCTTTGTAGTAGAAGAGACAACGATCCACAAGGACAAACCAGCGTTTGTTCCACTGTTTGACCCCGGAGCTAGCCTGCGAGGAGGGAGGAGAAGACCGGTGAGCTGGGGCGGGCGGACACTGCAGAGCAGAGAGATCTGGGCTGACTCTGCAGACATCGGACATGGCCACATAGCTGCTCTGGTTCTGTGCTAAGGAGCCCAGACCTCGGGTGTGGCGCCCCTCCTGCACCCACCCTGGGTGAAGCTCAAAGGGGCACGGGATGAGCCAGATTGAGCCAGCAGAGCCCAGGCAGGGATAGGGCAAGGTCAGTCTGGGAAGAACTGCTGAGAAGTCCAGACTTCAAGGAGACACCCTACCTGCATATCAAGGGGGACCTGCTAAGTAGGCTGACCCATGGGCTGGTGGCCTTAGTGCTGACCCTTCAGGAGACCTCACTGGCTTCTCGACTTTGACACTAGTATTTCTGTGTGACTTTTGGGAAGGTACGCAGCTTCTCCGAGCCTTTATAAAATAGGAGATTCATTTCAGAGATAAACTAAAATAGCACATGGGTAGGAGGATACCCACGTGTTGGAGGGATAGCAATGTATAGGGGGTTTCTAAGGTGTGGGGGTACCAAGGAATGCATGGACTGTTATATAGTTATGAGGAAAAAGTGCAGATTACAGCAAGCAGAAGGGCATTGGGGACTCACTTGCTTGAAGAGCCAGCCCGCCTTGGTGACCGGCATGTTGGGGTTCCTCTTCATGGAGTGTGAGCGTTTGCCAAAGGCGATGGCCTTCCGGGATGTCCGGGTTGCCTGGAAGGGTGGGCACAGAGAGGGAAGCTGCTCAGCCTTCCCTCCTCTCCCTCTGGAGACAGCTCCAGAGCTGTCTCTCTCTAGTGCACACCTGGGGGGCCCCTCAACCAGAGGCCCAGGAGAGAATCTTGGACTGTTAGGAGGAAAGGGTGTCCTGAAGGAACTCTGCAGAGTTCTGTGGACTCCACCCCCTAATCCAGCTTTCTGGACTCCACCCCCTACTCCAGCGATTGGAAACTGCAACTCCCAGCAGTGCCAGGGTGAGAACTGCGAGGACCCAAGGGCGGAGCTAATCAGGCTTTCTGGGACTTTGGGGGATATACGGCGAGCCATTTTAGACGAGTTCTCTCTCTGAACCGTGTGGCTGGTGGCTATCAGTGTACTGGAGTTCCAAGTCAGCTGAGCTGGTAGGATGTTCTAGTTAACTTGTCTCTCTCTCTCTCTTTCTCTCTTTCCCTGGATTGTTCCTTTTCCTTTCCCCTTTTGTAAATAAACCCATTATTTTTGTGTGTGCCTGCAGTATAATTAAATTTTAAGTGTGCAGGTGAGGACCCACAGACAGGCAACCCACTTCACATTGGGGTGCCCTGAAACAGGACCTGTTTATTAACTCAAGGGCACCTCTTTCAATTCTGCACATTTTTTTTTTTTAATCTCTTCCTTGTCTCTTCAGGGATAGGCTTCCTCTCCTCCTGCACACTCCCAGGGCTCCTCCACATCGTCTCTGCTGCAATGCCACCAATGAACATTCGTCCCTGCTCAGTCTAAAGCACTGGACATCAACCCTCCTGTCGCCCTGAAACTCTTCTTTTGACTTCTCTGGCTCTCTCCACCTGTGGCCACTGCTTCTCAGTCTCCACCTTGACTCCAAGTAGTGGACCTTAAACAAGCTTGGATCCTCTGTTCTTGCTTGTACGTTGTGCCTGTGTGATCTCTCAATGCGTGGTTGCCTCAACCACACGGCACATGCTGAAAATCCCCCACTATGTCTCCAAGGCCTCTCCTCACACGGGTCCACTTCTTAGGCCAGGATTTCATAAATGCAAAACCAAGTTCATCTTCTTTCTAGTGAAACCTGTTCTATATCTATAGCCTTGCTGAGTAGTACTCGCCCAGGGGCCAAACTAGAACCCCCCGTGGCGACCCATGCCCCCACCCACATACCGTGATGCAGTGTCACGAGTCGGTGCAACGGTTCTCACAACTGTGCTGCTTCTCGATTCCTCTGTTGGTGCCTGGGAGGGGTCGGCCCTTCCCGCTGTCACCCTGGCAATTTTTCTAAAACCCATTGCCATTATTCTCTTGTTTAAAATTTCTCATGGCTGCTCATCACGTAGAGTAGAACTCAGGCTCCTCAGCTTCCTCAGGACAGCACCCAAGGATGGGTCTGGGAGATCTGCCTCTGGTCACGCTCAGCCCACACTTTCTGCCTCTGGTCACGCTCAGCTTCTGGAGTTCTCCCTATCCCCATGTCTTTGCCCATGGGGGTGGGGGTGTCCACTGCTCAATCTCAACTCACCCTTTAGAGCCTGCTGCTGTCCCCCACCCCACTCCACAGAGCCCCGCTGGCTCCCCGAGGCTTGCTCTTTGTGGGGAAGAAGCTTCTCTCTGTTCACCTCTTCACTACCAGAGCGCGAAAGGGGTTCGCTATAACAAGCCCTTAGTGAATACTCGAAGAAGGGAGGAAAGAAGAATGGATTTTATTATGAAGTGCACCTTAGCTGGGAAATGAAATTATTTTCTGAACTTCACTATCGAAAGCCCACAGATTATGGCTGCAATTAGCCATGTGGAGAAATGACCCCCCCCAAACATGCAGGTCCCTGGTCACTGTCATCTTTCACAATTTCGCCCCTCTCTCCACTGCCTGGAAGCCAATTCCCTAGTCCCCCACTTTGGCCACTCTCCTGCAGGCCCCTCCCTATCCTATGCGCCCCTCTTTCCAAACATTTTGAGGCCAAGCCAAGCACCTGCCGGCCTGCTTGGCTGCAAGAACCCGCACACAACTGGGTCGGAGCCCCACAGGTCCAGCCTTTGACCTCAGCGGCCAGTATCTCCTAAGTCCTTTACTGACCACCATCCCTGCTTACCAAACCTTGGGCACACTCTTAAGCCCCCCAGGTCCTGTCCAGCCAACCTCCCATTCTCCTGCCAGAGTTGAGGACTTTGGCAGGAGCGTGTCTGTCTCCTGTGCCCCCGTTTCATGACCCTGCAGCTGGCTATCTCAGGAAGAGGGTCCTTCCAGGCTATCGGGCCCCTTCCCAGCTCCTCTGGACAGCACAGCCTTTAACTCACTGGCAGTGACTTTCCCCTGCACAACCCACAGTCCAGCCTCCAACACCTCGAATCCCAAGCTAGCCAGCAAGACCTCCCTCCGGCCCGTGTGTTTGCCAGTTTCGGCCTCTGCCCCACCCCACTTCACAGTCAAGTTCCTTTACATTAAAAAAAAAGATTTTGAGCATTTCCACAAAGTAGAGACTAAGTCGCCACAATGTGTTGCTTTTTCTCTAATAAAATATGCCAAGTAGAGCCAGTTCCCTTTGAGCCTCTACTCAATCTCATTACCTTTTCTTGCTCCCTGGAGGCAAACCTTGACCCAAAATTAGTCTGCCTGTCCACAGCGAAGTGCTTGAATTTCAGCTCCATCTAAAAATATGTAGTATCGCCTTCCATGCTTATAAAACACACTTTATGTAAGTGGTATATTTTTCATATTCTGCAACTTACTTTTTACTCAACATTATGTTTTCAAGATTTAACTTTTTTCCCCCCAAAGATTTATTTATTTATGCATATAAGAACAGGAGTGCAGGCCATATAAGCCAGAGGTGTGAAAGGAATCACCAGAGACAGAATGGGGAGCAGAACAGGCAGATGTACCAAAATACCCTGCTGAGGGGAGCAGCGGGCGAGACAGGAGTGGTCTGCTGCACTGTGTGGGTCCACTCCCTGGCCGGGGATCGAACTCAGGCTGCAGTGGCTTTGGGGAGCCTCATGGTGCTGCGCCCCACCCGCTGAGCCACCAGGGAGGCCCCAGATTTAACTTGCTAATACAGATAGCTCTGGCCCACTGTGCAGGACCACATGGCCTCTCCAAGACAGGCCTGTGTTTCAGTGTCGCTGCAGGCCGCTCCCTTCTCCTCCGAAGGCCTCTGCCCTCGCCAGCCCCTTGCCCATGCCCTTGTCAGTGCTTCCCCTCACCACAGCACAGCTAAAACCCACTTTGAGACCCCACCCCCTTCAGGACCCCCGCTTCGCCTTTCTCTGGACTTCCGCTCCCTCCTCAGGTTCTCTGCCTTTCTTGCCCCTTCTGAGATGTGTTAAGTCCTTCACGACATAGTCTTCTTTTGCTGTGCCCATAAGTCAACTCCTCTCCATAGGGTGGGGTAATTTGTGCTCTAGGGGACATATAGCAAGAGCTAGGGACATTTTGGGTGCTGGGGGCTGTTGCATCAAGTGGCTGGAGGTCAGGAACTGACCACCGCCCTGCAGTGAGCAGGAAGACCCACGCCACAGAGAGCTGTGCGGCCCCAGCTGAGGGCTGGGCCCAGGCTGCGAGCCCATGGTCTAGATGTAGGTCTTCTAGAAAGCTCTGGTCTGTCCTCCTCCTGCGTCCACTCCCCTCCTGGGCCACTCTGTCTGCGTATGGAGCCTAAAGAGACAGATGGGGAAGCTGATCCATTCCCCAGCACCCCTGCCCCCCAGCTCGCCCTAGGGCCTGGACCTACCCGGATGTTGGACCGCTCCGGAGGGACCTCGGACACCATGTTGTGGTTGGTGAGGTCACTGTTGGCAGTAGCCACCCGCTTCCCACCTGCTTTACTGGACATGTCCAAGGCCGATCTGATTTCAGGTTGACCAGGAAAGAAGAAAGAGACGCGTCAGAACCAAGAAGCCAAGGGACCCACCCATCCCTTCTCCCCACCCTGCCCCGCTGAGTGCCATCGGGCGGTCATCTGAGTGGCTCCCTCCTCTGTGTTGAGATTCTATGCCACTAACCCTGGACATTCTTTCTCTCCAGTCAATTTTTTTCAAAGCCTGCACCCCAGGATTTCAGAACTCTTTCTCCTTCTAATTTAAAGACACAATGGCCCAGCGGCCTCTGGGAAACTTAGTGACCTTTTTTCTTTTATTCAGCAAGATCCACAGTGAGAGAAATTAGCACTCAGCTGTTGTGGTTCTACCAGGAGCCTCACTCCCCCCTCAGAGGCCCCTGGGGTGCTGCCGGGCCTCAGGCCTGTCCCTCCGCTTCAGCTGGACCTGTGGGTGGTGCCCACCTGAGGTCAGCAATTCTGGGGAAAGAGGATAAGCAGCCCTGCCAGAGGGTCGCAGCATCTTTCCCTCCTCTCCCTTCTGCTCCCCACCCCTCCCTGACCCAGGTGCTGGGCGGCCAGGAAGGCGAGCTGGAGGACTTCCGGAGAGGGCTCACGTACGTTTTCAAGTTGAATTTTTTGTTTTCCTCCGGGACCTGTCCGGTCACTGGGTGGAGAAACGTGGTCCGTCTTTCATTGTGGCTGCAGAGGCAAGAGAGAGAGAGGTCAGAGCAAAGGCAGAGATGGTTGAGACAGACTAAGGTGGACAGACCTGGGGGCACGGGAACATGTAGGCACCAGGCCGTGTCCCTCTGCCCCTCGTCGGGATCGATGACCCTGGTCAGTGTCGGCGGTTCACAGGCCCATGAGATGGGAAATCAGGCCCACCTAGGCCTTTCGGGGCCACCCTGGCCATGCCTGCGTGAGGTTGGTGAGGTTGGTGGGGGTTCCAACAGCAGAGATGAGCGGCAGGCTCCCCCAGGGACAGCTCCTGTCACGCCCCAGCTGAAACTGCTCACTCCCTGCTCGTGCAAAGAACAATCTCGTGACCTTGGACTCCTTCCTCTCCAGCTTTAGCTTCCATCACTCTCCTTAAGGGAAACAGGAGACCCAGAAATTCCACTCTGGAACTTAGGCTGGGAGCCACGCCGACTCGAACCCCGGTCTCTGGTCCAAGGGCTGAGACGAGGGCGCTGACCTGGACTTGAGTGACTAGCAGAGGGAAGTCGGCCAGAGGAAGGGGCTACCAGGCAGACACAGAGAGCTGGGGAGCCCTTTGGGGAATTCCTGCTGCGGCCCCTCTGGCAGACTGAATGCCAAGGCTGAGCTAGGCCTCGGGAGGGCAAGGAGGGAAGGCAGCAGACAGATGTGGAGAGTGGCTGGTACACACGCGGCAGCCATTTGAGGCGGAGTCTGCCATCAGGGGACTCAGTATCCAGCGTGGGGGGGGGGGCAGCGTGTGTGAGTGTGGGGGGAGGGGGGCTTTAGGGTCCTCTTTACTTGTCCCTCTTGCGAGGTGCTGCAGAGACCAGAGCCTACCCTAAGAAGCTGGCACCTGGACAGAGCCTGCCACGCTGTGCCAGGCTGTGGATCCTGCCCCCAAACCAGTGAGCCTTGCCCAGACCAGGGCCAGCTCCGATGGCAACTCGCCAGTCGGCTCAGAGACCTTCAGAAGGAAGGAACTAGCCCTTGAGCTGCCTGGGAGCAAAGATCCCTCTCTAGCTGCGTCTGCTAAGGATAACTTCAAAGTGCATCTTCACTTTCGAGACAGTCAGACAGAGAAGGTGAGGCCCAGCAGGTGGTGGCTACCGTCTGTGCCGAAACCTGGGCTGTCCAGCCTGACTTGCCTGCGGGACCCTGGATGGGGCCTGGGTTCTAACGAGAATAACCAAGCCAGCTCCCTCGTCTGAAACTCCGCCCCCCTTTCCTCCTCCCTCTGAGAGTGCTTTCCTCAACTGCAGGGAATCTCCGTGAGGGAGGAAGCTGCTACAGTCACCCTTATGGGGCTCTGCCCCATCTAGTGGTGGTGGGGGAGCTGGTGGTCAGGGGGGCTGTGACAGCTCGGATCCTTGAGGTGCCAAGGTCTCTGCTTTTTCTCAGGGGAGCAGAGCACCTGCCGCCCCCTCACCCCCATAGCTTTCCATGTCCTTGTGTTAACTGCTGAAACTCCCTGAGAGCAGTGGGACAGACACACAGGCACACACACAGACACCCCCCAGCTGCGGTCTGCTGTCGCTGGCAGTCTTTCAGGGTCTGCTGGAGTCCTCCTTGTCCCAGACTCTCCTACCCAGCAACCCCTACAAATGACGTCCTCTCTCCATGCCGGCGCTACCAATTTCAAAATAGCTTCCCCTTTGCAAGCACTGCAATGCAGCAGCCATTGACCTAACTACTCTCCCTTCTCCAGGTCGTGGCAGGCAGGTCCCTCATCCCGGGGCCCCGGATCCCATGAGCTGCCAACTCGGCCTGCTCTTGCTTGACTTGGCTCCCGGTTCGTGGCAGAAATCCCTACCTGACCCGCCGATCAGCCCGAAACTTCAGCATCTTTTTGGCAGTTCAGTCCCACATCCAGCAGCCTCAGAAGACCCGCCCGGCCACCCTGCTCCTACCATCCCTCTGGAAGGTAAGTCCTCGGGCTGGCTCAGAGCTCTGCAGGGCCAGGGGGCAGCCCCAGCAGGCCGCTGCTTCCCCTCCTCCCAGCCAGGCACCGGGAGAGGGGGAGGGGCTCTCCCTGGGTAGCAAGGGGTGCCCAGGTGCCCTGGGGGGCTGAGGCTTCCTAGCATTCAGCCAGTGCTGCCTGCCAGACTGCTGGAGGCAGAACAAGCCAGCAGGAGATGCTAGCAGCCCGTTCAGGTCCCCAGAAGAAAAACGCTGAGGTGGAGAGAAAGGCGCCCTGAATTCCAGGTCGTCCGACCTCACTGAGCTAAGGACACAGAGGTGCTGGGCGGGTGGAGGAGTTGGGAGCCGCGTTCCCATCTGCCCGGCACACTCATCCAGCCTGCGGGAAGGCGTCCTCTGCCTCCCTGCCCGGGCACTGCCTGCGTCTAAGTCACTTGCTGCTTCTGAGCCCCTCGTGATCCTCAGGGCACAGGATCAAACGAAGCTCCAGGTTCACGGGCCGCTACGCTGCTTCCGCTGTCGGGCTGCTGACACTGATGATGTCTCCTCTCCCTCCCAGCCTGCCAGCCGTGTGCACACAGGAGCATAATGAATGGATCGTCTTGGCAACGTCTCCTCACACGCTCCTGACGGGCACCGCCCCCTGGGGCTCGCCTCCACCTGGCAAGGTCCAGCGGGTGTCCAGCAGGTAGGACACAGAGGTGCGGGCTGTGGCTCCAAGTGTTGGTGGCGAGGACGCGGCTTCTTTCGCTGCAAGGAAAGCTTCTCCCGAAGTTTGTGAGGAGGGCAGCAAATGGAGTTCAGAGGGGGTCACCGTGGGTTTGTTTCTGAAAATCTTTCCAGAGGCGATATGATAAATTCCAGCTGGTGACTGGCAGATGTGCTCGGGGCAAGGTTTGCGTGGTCGTTAATTCCCTGAACTCTCCAGAGGCCGAAGATGGTCAGATCTCGCCTTTCCTCAGCGTCCTGCGTCAGGGTCCGTGGGCTGCGAGGACCTTCTGAAAGTCACCTCTTCCATCCCCTACCCCAGCCAAGCCTGCCTCGGGCCGTCTTGGGGAGTGTTGGGTGTCTAGGAAGGTTCTCACAGTGGCTCCTGAGTCTCTACCTTGTATTGTTTAGGCATTGTTCCTCATATCACATGTCAGATCCTCCGGCTTTCAATATTATTCCATTTTTGTCTTCGGATGACACGTTCCCTTCTGGCCAATGTAGTTCTTTGCAGCAGCAAACGAAAAGCATGATTCTGTTGACATCACAGTCTGCTGTTATGGCAATTCTGTGATGTCACAACGGACACCGGGAGGGAGGTGCTAATCTAATATTTTGAATCGAAGACAGAACTGTTGAGGGAGCGATGCAGTGAGTGGAAAAACAAACGACCGACATTTAACCCTCGCTGAGACCAGCTGCTCAGATAGAACAGGGGACAACAGCAGCTGACACAGAAGCGATGAACCCTAAAATCAAGCATCAGCTCCCTCAGCCCTTTCACGTACTTCCGGAGAGCTGCTCCTGCAGCCGAGAGCTAAGACTCTCCCCACCCCTAGGCCAGTGACTTGGGCCCTGCCACCATTCCAGAGAGCTGGCTCCTCTCCTGATGTCCTTTTGCCCACACAGTAGGTCCTCGGTAAATATCTGTTGGACGGATGAACAAAAGCTCTCCACGCTGGCTGCATTTTTAACCACCTATAGTTGGAATTTGACATTCTATTACCAAGGGCTTCCCTATCTTTGCTCGCTCTTAAAATTAATTACTTCCTCTCCACCAGAGAAGCTCTATTTCTGCCCCCTCATCCCCTCACTCAGCTTCCCTCTCCGGCTCCCCTTTGAATAGCTAGCTTGGCTTTGATCCATCTTCATTAGGAGGGGAAGAAAATTAAGCTCATGTGCACCAGAGGACAGGGTGGAGGTACACTAGGGAGTGAGTTTTCTTCCTCTCAAGGCAAAAATATCCCCTTTCTCGTCAAGCTGAGCTCAGGGGCCTCCCACAGCCTTTGCTGAGGTTGCAAGTTAAATTACTTCTCCCATGCCCAGTGCGGGCAGCACCAGAAGCAGGCTGCAGGCTGCGGAGTTCCCTGCTTGTTGAGGCTCTAAAATTACAGAGCGGCATGCAGGGTGCCTCACCGGGCACTTTCCTTGGCCACGACACTGCCCAGGAGGACAGGCTTTGCTTTAAGTTAGACATTAGGCAGAAGTAACCGGGAACAGAGCATTAGAAAAGGGAACCAAGAACAGGCGAGCAGGCCATTTCTCAAGAATGAGTACATCTCGAAAGGCACCTCTGCCGTTTCCACCCAGAGAAAGGGAACTTGAGCGGCTAAGGCGATGGAAGCCTGTGCCAACCCCCATCCGATGGCCACCTTATCGGCTGGACCTACAAATGTGGCCACGGCGGCAGGGCCAGCAGCGCAGAGAGGCGTGGCAGGATGGAGCGTGCAGTCCACGGTCATGAGAGCTAGCAGTTGACTTCGATGTTCCCTGGTTTCTCCATGCACCGCCCGCCTTCCCATTCCAGGAAACAGTAAGTGCGAACTTTCACCATGCGAAATGTTCGATGCCCAAGAGAAGACAGGTAGGGCCATTTTGCTCAACAAACCAACCAAGGAATAAACATGCCAGGTTCCAGAGAAGGGGCTCTATCCTGTCAGCCCGTACGTCCTCAGGACAGCCGCACCCAGAGGCAGCTCAGCGCTCAGCCCTCCCCCTCGCCACAGTCCAAAGAACAACAACCAGGGTCTTCACGGCCCTTTGCTGCCAGCGTGTTTGCGGAGGCGCGTCACGCACGCATGCACGCACGCACGCACGCACGCCCAGGCTGGACGCCCAGAGCTTCCTGCGTGATAAATATTGAACCACTAAGGACATGCATTCAGCTCCTTGTATTGCCCCCGCCCCTTAGTTATCTGCCACACACAAAGCTGCTTCATTTCCATAGCCCCTGAGAACTTGCTGACAGAGCACAGCCCTGGCCAGGCTTCCCCACGCCAGGATGCTCCACTCCGGCATCACAGCTCCTCAGGAAAGGGGGAGCAGGGCAGCCGGGGCCACCCTGCCTGCTCCTCCCACCAGCTAGCAACTTCCAG